CTTACATCCTCCGTGTTTCCACTGACTACTACAGTGTTTGGAAAAAAGTAAATGCTCAAAAATATTTGTCAAAGTGAATGCATCTGTGGGATTTAAGAAGAATGGATTGCCCTTAAGAGCTATGCAGCTTTGAAAAATCAAACTTTTGGTCTTCTTTTTCCTTAACTCTTGTCCCTTCTCCAGTATTCCTACAATATAGTAAGTGACTCAACTACTGAACTACTGAAGTTGCTCAGGCCAGAAATGTAGGATTCACCTTTGACTCCTCATTGACTCTTCTCCAATTAATTATCAAAATCTATAGCATTTATATTCCAAATATCTCTTTAACTTATCAACTTTTCTCCATCTCCACGGCCACTCTGGTTCAACCCGCCATTCTCTCTTTCCTGAATTGCTGCCTCGACTGCTTTCCATTAGTCTTAAAGCAAAATAACTTCCTTTCTATACCCTATGACATCCTGCACGCCTACCTCTCCAATCTCTTCCTGTCTCACTCTCCCCTTTGTTCCCTGAGCTCTGGCACTTTGTTCTTCCTGAAGTTCCTTCACCATGCCAAACGCTTCCTACTTGCTGGCCCATCTCTTCAGGGAAGTCCCAACTCACTCTGCCCATGCCTCCCATGTTCCCTTACATTTGATTTCACAGAGGACTTTCCCTGAGCACTCAGTCTGTAGCCATATCCCCCCAACCCTAGAGATTTTCTTAGAGAACCTTCCTCTTTTTTATATTCATTTATTTGTTTTGCCTAGCACTTGTCTGTGAATGTAGACATATATTCCTTTGAATTCTGACTACATTGCAAGCTTCATGTAGGTAGGAGACCACGTTTGTTCATATGCCACTTATACCCTGTGTCTGTCACAGTGCCTTAACATTGACACACATTCAGTATGAATGAATGAACTTATCTGAATGTATTTACTCATCTCATGTGCCCATAAGGTAGGAACAGCCATACTTACCCCATAAACCTTTGAAAATTAAATGAATTAATGTATCTGATATCTCTGTATAACTGTAAGTCACTCTCTAGGTGTAAGTTATTCTATTGAGACAAATAAAAGCAATCTCTTATACTTTTGGAAATAAACTACTACAGTTTGATTAAGTATATCTCTAGGATGTTACTTCAAGGTCAGAAATAGGATTAAGGGATAGAAGGTCTATGAAAGCAGTCTTTTTATCACTATAAACAAAGAACTATTAAAGTCTTAAGTACAGCCCCCAAATAGAATATACTAATGCCAAAATAGTAGAGAATGTCACTTATGTTTTAGATAAAGATTACACTAGACACCTCTTGTGCCTCTTGCAAACTCAAGGATTCTCTAATTATAGAGAGCAATAATAAGAACAAAAGCACCCACAATTTTGCACATGCAACCTAGAAGGGAAAGGTTCACACACAGATTCCTGAGGCTCACTATATAGGATGGCAGTAAGGGGAATACTCTGTTTAGAAATGTTTTAGGATAAGTCTGAGTGAGACATTGTTTTCTATTAGCTGGTGTTCAAAGTATTAGCTCCAAAGAGATGGCATAAAGATAATCATATTTATTCCTTAGAGTTACAAAGATAAACAAAAGAGTGAAAGGTCTCTAATTCTTATATTAGGGAGCCTGTGACCAAGGAAACTTGTCCAGGTAAAATCCCATACTACCCATACAATTGTCCCTGTCGGGAGCATGTGAAAGTACACGTGCATGCAAAAAAGCCAGCTTTTCAAATGCTCTATAGTAAAACTTAAGTGAGAAAGACGAGGAAAAAAGAGGAAACATTTTCAGCCTTCTAGAAGTTCATGCAAACATAGAAAAAGTAGCAAGAACTGAAGGAGAAAACAGTGCATGAATCCCTACCCCATGTCTGGTAAATCAGATCTCAGCCAAAATGTCACAATACCCCAGTGTAATTCAGTCCACTCGGAGGAGTCCTTACTGACGTGTAAATACAAAGGATATGAATATTTTTCAAAGTGATGTTACTGGAAGAGCAACTGCCAATCTTCCAGCCTGGGGTGTTAGATGGAAGTGTTAGGATTTTAGATCCTCACTCTACCTCCCCAGCAGTCTCATCCAAAACTTGGACTTGGCCCCCAAAGCGAAGCTTCTGCCAGATGTTTGTAAGTGCAAGTCAGGGTCATTCCGAGATAGATGACTGTGAAGTTGTTCTATTTCTTAAAGATCATATTGTGATGGTAGCGCTGGCTGCTGTGGATCTCACTGCTATTGTTGCCAAGTGTCCATTCTCCCCTGCTTCCTGGCACCAGAGCTCTGAATTTCCTTCAGGGAATTGTTCCTCCCCAATTTCCACCCATGGGAGCTGAGCCCACCCTCAGCTTCAGCTTCTGGCTTGCACTGATCTGCAAAGTCCAGCCCTGAGGACATCGTGATTGCCTTAGGGAAAGTGTGAGACAAAATTCTGGCTATGAAAATGAGAGAAAGGGTTTGCTGGAGGCTTCTGGGCAAGGAGCATCTTTGGTGTCCTGAGAAAGACTGGAATAATCTCCCTCCTTTCTGCCAAAGAGACCAAGAAACATGTATCCCCCGGAGCTGTTGACAGTCCCGTGTGAACACAAGAACTACAGTTTCCAGATGACATTGGCACAGTGGAAAGCAGATGTTGTAGACAGAATAATGTCTTTGCCCATCATGCACACAAAAAGATGTCTATGTCCTAATCCTCAGAACCTGTGAATGTTACCTTACATGGCAAAAGGGATTTTGCAGATGTGATTAAATTAAGGATCTTGAGTCAGGTGGATTATCTTGGTTTATTGGGATGGGCTCAGTGTACCCTCCAGGGTCCTTACAATGCAGGAGGGAGGAATATCAAAGAGAGAGAAGGGCAAGTGACAAACACAGCTGAGAGATCGAGAGATTAGGAGATGCTTTGCTGCTTGCTTTGAAGATGGAAGCCTCTAGAACCAAAAAAGGTAAGCAACCAGAGTCCTCCCTCGAGCCTCCAGAAGGAACACAGCCCTGCCCAGACCTTGACTTTGGGACTTCTGATCTCCAGGACTGTGGGATAATAAATTTCTATGGTTTTAAACCACTAAGTTTGTGGCAATTTGTTTCAGCCGCAAGAGGAAACTAATACAGCAGGAAAGAGGTGAGTAGAGACAGGGCCACTGGTTCTTTGGTGATCTTGATGAAGCACTTTATCAGACACCAGTGAAGTCCCCTGTGCCCTCTGAGTTTTTGGTTTAGAAACAGTCTTCATTGTTTGAGGTTACTGGATTTGGGTTTTCTCTTACTTGAATCAAATTACTCTGACAGCTGCACTAAGTAAACACAGAAGAACTGACACTGCTCTGCGTAACAACACGAAGTGCTGCCTTCTGCTGTAGAAGACAGCAGTGTAGATTTTGCTGCCATTAGGGAAGTGTTTCTCTTCTTCAATATGGACTTAGACTGCTGTGTTTCTGAGCGTTGAACCCATCTTTTGGAGGTGTGAGTGTGTATGTATCACTCAGGATTTTCAGCTATTTTGGGAAGTGGCTGGTGAGATCTATGTGGAGACTGGGCTCGGAGATCAATACTAACTCTACCCTTGGAGGGCCGAATCCCACCTGTGCTGTCTTCCCAAAGCCTTACATGGTGAATAACTAGGTAATTGTATTACCAAGAGATTACTGTGCTCAGAGATAACCCGTGGAAATGGATGGAAATGGATCTCAAGCCTTTGATTAATGATTAGGGTCACAATGTTTCCCTATAGAATGAGGGTTCACACTGCAGAGATCTGAAAAAAGGGCTCTCATGAAGAGGGGTGGAGACCTGTAGATGGTAGCACAAAGGAAGGAATCGAGTGTGTCTAATAGAGACCCTTCTGCAAAAGGGTTTGCCTTGTTTCTAATTTTGTCTTGCATTACAATGAACAATTATAGAAAGCATATTTTCTTTGGATGCTGCAATTAATCTGGTTATGCTCAGCCTTTAGTGAGGTTAGTTGGTGGAGAACAGAGGTAAGGGACTGCACCAGAAAGCGTGGCTCACCCACCTGCACCCACTGCTGCCTGGGGAGGGGGACAGCCCCACCTCAGTGACAGCAGAGTGTGTCCCAGAGTTTCAGGTGGGGCCACTGCAGCAGGAGCAGGGCCCAGCAGTGTGGGAGCAGCGAGGACGGCCCCCAGGGATGGTGGCCCTTGAACAGGAAGAAGGGTGGAATACCATTATTACATAACAGTGTGTCAAGGTCAAGTCAAGGTTATCCCTATGAAAATACCACTGTCCTTTACCTTATAGAATGCTTTCTTGAGAGGGAGGAAAAGAAACGTCATTGCAGCTGTGGAATGTGAGGTGGAAGGATAAGGAATTGAGTACCACCCACAGAACCCACACACAATGTTATCTGCAGGGCTGTTCGGCAGTGCCAGACCCTGAGCTTCATCCTCCATGTGTGTCTCAGCAGGAAAACAAAACAAAACAAAAAAACAACCCTGAAAACTACTGGATGAGTGGGCTAGTCGTGGTGTGGTAGGTCTGATAGAAATATGAGCTTTGGTCTCAGAAGGACCTGGGTCCCAGTCTTGGCCTCAAAAATGTGTTAATTCTCATACTTGAATTCCGTATTGGAACACTGTCAGCCTCAGTTTTGTTGTCTGTAAAATGGGACACAATGCTGCAGGAACTGCGGACAATCATATAAAGAATGAAAGCATCTAGCAAGTGCTTAATGATTCGTATCTATTATTATTATTATTATTTTCTCATTAAACTTTGTTTTAATGGGTCTCAAAATTCTGTGACAGATTTTTGGTCAAGTTGTTTCCATTAAAAAGTACTGATTTTAAAAACTAATAACTTAAAACTGCCACACAAAAAGAAACAAAAGTGGTCCACAAAACATTGTCCTTTCCTTCTGAAGGTTTTATGATGCATTGTTATTAACAAACAGTCTTTTACTATTAAACTTAAATGGCCATTTGAAACAAACAGTTCTGAGATCGTTTTTCCACCCCTGATTGAGAGTAAGGTGGCAGGTATTAGGGATAATATTCATTTAGCCTTCTGATCTTTCGGGGTAGATTTGGTGATCTTGCCAGCTCCAGTAGCCTTCTTGTCCACTGCTTTGATGACACCCACAGCAACTGTCTGTCTCATATCACGAACAGCAAAACAACCCAGAGGAGAATAGTCTGAGAAGCTCTCCACAGACATGGGCTTGCCTGGAACCATATAGACAATGGCGGCATCACCAGACTTCAAGAATTAGGACCATCCTCCAGCTTCTTTCCAGAGCGGCGATCACTTTTTTCCTTCAGCTCAGCAAACTTGCAGGCAATGTGAGCAATGTGACAATCCAGTACAGGAGCATAGCCAGCGCTAATTTGGCCTGGATGGTTCAGGATAATCACCTGAGCAGTGAAGCCTGCTGCTTCCATTGGTGGGTCATTTTTGCTGTCACCAGCAACGTTGCCACGACGAACATCTTTGACAGACACATTCTTGGCGTTGAAGCCCATGTTGTCCCCTGGAAGAGCTTCACTCAAAGCTTCATGGTGCATTTCAATGGACTTTACTTCAGTTGTAACATTGACTGGAGCAAAGGTGACCACCATACGGGGTTTGAGAATACCAGTCTCGACTCGGCCCACAGGGACGGTGCCAATACCACCAATTTTGTAGACATCCTGGAGAGGCAGATGCAAGGGCTTGTCAGTTGGACGAGTTGGTGTCAGAATGCAACCCAGAGCTTCAGGCAGTGTGGTCCCACTGCCATTGCCATCTTTACAGGTGACTTTCCATCGCTTGAACCAAGGCATGTTAGCACTTGGCTCCAACATGTCACCATTCCAGCCAGACATTGGCACAAATGCTACTGTGTCAGGGTTGTAGCCAATTATTATTTTTATTATCATTATCTAATGCTTCTAGCACAACTCTTAGAATGGAATAAATTCTTAATAAATAGCAAACAGCAAATATGTCTATAACACTTAACTATGTTCTAAGCACTGTTTAAACACTTACTGATATTACATAAGCTAATATTCATAATAACCTGTGGAGTAGCTAATATTCTTTTTCCATTATACAGACAAGGAAATCGAGGCCATAGAGATTAAGTGATTCAACAAAGGTCACATAGCTAGCAAACGGCAGGGCCAGGATTAGAGGATTAGAACTGAACCTAAGCTCTTAAACTGCAGAGTCCATTCTCTTAACCACGATGGTATAAATGTCACTTCCCTTCTGCCCCCTTCTACTTCTGTGGCATATTCTATGTGTAGATATGAAAAGAGCATAAGGCATGTTACTAACCTTGAAGGTCATGGGGGACACACAGCACAGCTGCATGAGGCCACTGAAACACCTACAGAACTATATGGACCCCAGTGTTACACCACGTCTTTTCAATGAAGTGTGGCCGGACGGTAACCTGCTGGAGCTCACGGAGGTAGACTGCAAGGTGTCCAGAGGAACGAACAGCTCGTGGCAGCTATGGTGAAGTGGGGACAGAGAGGCCTGGAGAAATGACGTGTGTAAAACGCTCACAGGAAGCACCCTGACAGCAGCCCTCAATGACAGTGCTATTTTGATAATCGTTACTGGTATGCAGCAATTGTCTTTGAGGTAGCTTAGAGATCAGGAGACTATTTCATAATCTAGGGAAGTAATGACGAGAGTTTGGATGAGGTCAGGGTTATAGTGGGCTCAGAGAAAGCAACATATTAAATAAACAACTAAGAGATAAAAATAAGTGGGTCTTGTGAACCACTAGGATGGGGATTTGACAAAACAGGGTCCATTTTCCAAATGGAAAGCTATGGCCCATGTGGGAAGGGCGAGGAGGCAGAGGCCAGGGAGGGGGCAGAGCAGACAAACCCTTGGCCCACTTGCCGACGTGGCCCTCTTCACTGCAGAGAGCTTGGAGTCTGTGGAGCACAGAGGAGCCTTTCCTCTCTCCCGCAGAGCACATCTGGTTTTTGCGATGAAAGGATCTGAGGTGTCAGGTTTAAATGTCGTGGCTGACCAGCTAGAGAGGAGAAATGATGGGAAGCATGTCAGGTCAACACTGTGATCTCCCTGGGGGCTGTAAGTGATCTTCCCAATAATAAACACAGAGCCCATGATGGTGGTTGCTTCCCTGACCGGAATTTTATATGCACACAAGCTGGAAAACGTGGCCAGAAGTTTCAGCCATGTGCTTTGTAAGGTCCTACAAGTCATTACTCTTTTCTAATAATGTCCCAGTAAGGAATGTAGTGGGGAATATACGAGCCAGACAACATCCCGATCTTTTGCAGAGGGTACTGTTGATATTTGGGCAACTATGGTGAAAAGCCCTTTGCAGGAATAGAGTTGGCAATTACCAAAAATGGGCACCAACTTGAGAATCGGCTTCGTTGCTTCCACACTGCCTGTTTGGTAATGTTTGTGCTTTGATGACCTCCTGGATCTTGGAATGCTTTCCATTATTCCAACCTGCTTTCAGCAAAGTGCTAAAAATTAATTCACAGTGAGGTGTGAAGTGTTGATAGAAGCTTAAAATGCTGCCTCTTCCTGGGTATTTGCAGGAAAGGGGATGAGTCAGAGATAAAGCAGAAATGCTATGACGCACTGGGTTTCAGAAACTGATCTTATGGTATGAAAGTCATCCCATTGCTTTGTCTGAAATGCACTTGAACCCCCTTCCAGGGCCTAGCTGTTCTTCAAAGTCCAAATCAGCCACATATTCTTTGCAAAGCTGTCACTGTCAGCCCCAGCCTACAACAGTCCCCTACATTGAACTTCTTTTGGATTAACTGCACGTTCATAACTTAACACCTGTATAGAACTGCAAAAGGCAAATCAGTTAGCTATCTCCACTTGGATGGTCTCAAACTGACTGAGGCTTTTAGAGATCCATAATATTAAGTTCAAATCCAGAACATTGAGTTCGAATCCCAAGTTTAGCATGGACTAGTTGGGTGTATTTAGGCTACATCATCATGCAATATCTCAACTTCCAAATTTGTAAACTTAGTGTATTAATTCTTACAGAAAAAATTTGAGAATTAAATGGGATTTCACAGGGAAACTACCAAGACACAATAAGGATTTAACAAAAGTTAACAGCATTCCTTTCTAACTATGCCCTTTCTCAAGCTCCTAAAATGGTGGGAAGAGGCAGCACATGTAGTTCAGTTATTTCCCAGGCTCCCATTTGCATTTGTCCTATGTGATTTTTTGTAATATTGGTGTGCTACTTGTACTGTTACTGAATGAATATTTTCTTTAAATCTACTTAATCATGAAAAGTTTGAATCTATTTTTTAAAAAATTATATTACAACTGTAAATGGAAATATCACCATCTCTTGCTCTAAATAGAAGATAAAACTAAATGCAGTAAAACAAAGCAATATTATTAAATTCTAAGTAGGTCTAAGCATTAAATTTGCTCTCTTACTATTGAAAAAGGAGGACCAGCAAATGTTAAACAGGTTTGATAGATAGACTCCTATGAAACTGAGAATTTTTCCTTGATGTAACCAGGTTTAAAACATAATTGAAAAGAACAAATTGTTTTATGATAAGGTTTATTGTCATTTGATTCATGTGTTTCTGCCATTTAAATCATCTTTCATCCCAATCACTCTCTAAAGAGAAAAATTATAATGGAAAGACCAAAATTTTGGAGCTAGGGAAACCAGGATGTAAACTTTAGCCCCATTCCCTACTTATCAATTACATTGAGTAAGTTACTAAAAGTCTTTGAGCCTCAGTTTCCTCGTATGTAAAATGAAATAGAAATGCTCAAGTTAGAAGATATTTGCATGGATGCAATCGAGTATATAAAGTACCTAGTAAAGTGCCTTGAATTCATAACATAAAAGCAAAATGTTGATGACAGGGAAAATTGCCTGTCAAAGTGCAGATAAATAAAATAGAGGGCAGGTTGTTGGTGTGCCCAGCCACCTAATTTGCTGGGACAAAGATGTTCTGTGATTCTCATCTCAGACATCTGGACAACCTGTCAGCACATAACTGGGTGGTTTTGAAACTCCCCAGGATTATATAATGTTGGATGGTAACCAGGACCATTGGACCTTCTTCTTTCATTCCTTATTATATTGATTTCATTTTTCACCATACAAAATTTAAAACAATTTTTTGTGTGTGTGCAAGATTGAGAAACTCTAATTAGGTAGAAAGGAGAAAATAAAATCACTTGTGATCTCACTACCCAGAAATAACAATTGTTGATATTTTCAACATTTCTTTCAGATGTCAACATTTTCTTTTGGATTTTTCTATGCAAATTATATGTATATAACTTTTTCAAAGGGAAAGTTGTTCTACCCTTTGTTTTGCTATTAACTTTGTAATTGAACCAATAAAACATTCTCACACAAATGTTTTTTAGATAAATATAGTTCTACAACATGACTTTTCTTGCTTCTGACTGTTTAGCCTGTGGATGTAGTGGTGTGGCACTATTTGGCCAATTCTCTAAAATTATTTAGATTTCTTCCCCTTGAGTTAATATGTTAAAATATTGCAATTTACTTCCTTGTAAATGAATCATGACTCATAGCAAAAATATTTCTTACATATAAATGATAAAAAGTGGAATTTCTAGGTTAAAAATATGGACAGTTTAAGGCTCTGTTTAACTTTGCCACTTTAGTCTTAAGAAATTTAATATAAATTTAAAATGTAAGTATACATAAAACACACTTCTTAGTACCCCTGCTCAAACTAGGTGGTATCACATAAAGATAATTTTGCAAATTTAGGTGAAAATATTATTATTTTAGTTTATACACTCCTATATACTTGGCAATGGTTTCTATTTCCTCTGATATGAATTTTGTGTTCAGACATGTATTTATTTTTTTCCTTTTGGGTATTAATCTTATTCTCACTAATTTGCAAGAAATCTTTACATATTAAGGTTAGTAATTTGTATGTCACACACATTGGCACTAATTTTTCAGCAATTTATTGACTTCTTACTTTTATACACACCATATACGATATTTAGAATGTTTAAAAATATCATGTTGTCATATCTATTGGTAATTTCTTTTATGACTGTGTTTTTGGTATGAAGCCTAGAATGTTTTACTCTATAGTTGATTATATAAATTTTTGCATATTCTTCTTCCAGTGCTTTACAAGTATTTTCAATTGTACATATAAAACAAAAATATCATAAAATATTATAAAATTTAAATATTTATGATGGGAATTACTGAAACATGCCCTCTTCTCCTTGATCATCTCATTCAGTCTCATGGCCTAGAAGATGATCTGATGACTTCCAAATTCATATATTTGTTCCCAGTCTATCCCATGAATTCCAGATTCATGTATCCACCTGACTATTTCATATCTCCACTTGGATATCAAATAAGCATTTCAAATTTAACAGATCCCAAACAAAACCCAGACACCCCCTTCAAAGCCTACCCCTCCTGCCATCCTCCACATCTCAGTTAATGGCAAATCCGCCTTCTGACTGCTCATAATGACATTCGCGGAGCCTTCCTAGCTCTCTTTCTCTTACCTTCTTCATTCAACTGGTCAACAAATTCTGGCAGCAGGGCCTTCAGAACACATCCAGAAGCCAGAAGCCAGAAGCCAACTACCTCACACACCTGCACTGCCACCAGCCTGGTCTCTCCCATCATCATCTCTTGTCTCTAGTGCTATGCAGCCTCCTATCTGCTTTCCCTTTGGTAGATTCTCTGCATGATAACCACAGCGATCCCGTTTAAAACAAAACAAAAAATAAAAGCCAAGTTGGAGCCTGTCTGCCCCTGTCTTTTTTTTTTTCTCTATTTAAATTTTTTTTTAATTTCAGGAAATTATGGGGGTACAGACATTTTGGTTACATGTTATGACTTTGCCACATCCCAACCATGATTTGA